AAGAAGGGTCTTGACGATGCCGCACTTTTAACTGGTCAGATTCCAAGTGCGACTTCTCTGCATCGCATCCAAGGCCCGAGATCTCCAAGTATTTTAGCAGTGTGGACGCCTGCGCATGTCACCACGGGGCAGGCAGTGAGGACGGTTATTGCAACTGAGACGCAGAAAATTAAATGTCTTACTCGAGGAAATAAAACACGTTCGCGGGAGCTCCTCGAATACAAATTTGCTTTCCTAACACCCAGGCTTTTGAAACTTGCTGAATGAATGCTAAGCTCCACACAGTGGGGGGAACAGCACAGGGTCTGGCACAGAGGAAATATTTCTGACACAAATGACCCGTCCTGATTCAAAGTCAATATCAGATCTGTGATCTATAAAGTTCACCTCTCAGTTGTCTAAAGGTGAAATATCCACCCTTCTGCATTATCAGTGACGATGCTTTTAACACCTGTCTCCTCACCATCTAGAACACCCCCAAATCGCCCTTCCCTCTGTCCGGGCTTCAGGTCCCAAAGAAACCTGACCTAGGTGCAAAATCCTGGAGGGCTTCCTCGCGGTGGCTGAGCCTGCGAGCAATGGAGGGTGCGCGGGTGCGAAGCTGGCACTGACGAGTGGGGTGGGGAGGTGCACTCTGAGCAGAGGGAAGAGCTCGTGCAGCACCCTGAGGCTGGGCTGTGGGGAAAGAGGGGGAGAAGGGGAGAAAGAGATTAGGGTGCAGAGAAGCACGGCTCAGACAATGAGGTACTCAGTGAGCCATGTTAAGAATTCTGGTCTTTATTCTAAAAGCAGTGGGAAGCCATTGAAAAGTTTTGGAGGCAAGGAACAGCAGGGGTGACAAATTGGATGTGACCTTGAACAGACTGGAGAGGAGGCCGGGATGCATGCAGAGAGCCCAGGTGGGACACGTTCTGCCAAGGTCTAGGTGAAGAAAGATGGGGGGGTTACACCAAGGAGGTAGCAGCAGAGATGAAGTGAAGAGGATGGATTTAAAAGATATTTAGAGGGCCAGGCTCGGTGGCTCATGCCTGTAATCCCAGCACTCTGGGAGGCCGAGGCAGGTGGATCCTTCGCTTGAGCTTGTGAGTTAGAGACCAGCCTGAGCAAGAGCAAGACCCCATCTGAATTTTAAAAATAAATAAATAAATAAAAATAGAAAGAAATTAATTGGCCAACTAAAAATATGTAGAAAAAATTAGCCAGGCATGGTGGTGCATGCCTGTAGTCCCAGCTACTCGAGAGGCTGAGGCAGGAGAATCGCTTGAGCCCAGGAGTTGGAGGTCGCTCTAGCCGGGGCAACACGAGTGAGATTCTGTCTCCAAAAAATAAATAAATAAATAAAAGATATTTAGGACCTAATGCATTGGCTATGAGGATGAGAGAAAGGGGACTATGAAGGATGGCTCCCAGAATCTTGACTCTCACAACCGCAGGCGAGGCAGGAGATGCAGGGAGAGGACCCTGTTGCAGGGATGGGGGGTGACCGACTTGGGAAGCAGGGTGAACCATGAGCTGAGGGTGAGCCTGCGTGTGATATGTCTTGGAGACATCCAAGCAGAGACATCCTGTAGGGAATTGGAGACCTGATTGTGGAGTTCAGAGATGTCAGGGCCAGAGTTATAAATATGGGAGTCATTGACATGAGGGAGGTAACCAAAGTTGTGGACTTCAGTGGGATTTCTTGAATTTAATTAAGCAGTCTCTCACTATTGGACATTTGGGTTGTTTCTGTCTTTTGACATTATAAATGGCCCATTAACAAGCATCCTTGTCCCAACTTATAGCTTTTTCCCTATTCTAGGTTAGTTTTCTAAGTAGCCTCCATTGCTAACATGGTTAGCAATGAATATCTGCTAAGAGAATGAATATATCATGTTTATTCCCCCCAAAATGAAATGGAAATTCTTTTTGATTGGCCATTATTCATAATGGCCTATGCACCACTCTCTTGCAATATCTGGGTGATTTATTAAGTCTTCCCTAACAAGCCTGACCAAAGAGATCTTCCTCTGAATTCTAATAGCTAATCTCAGAGACATTCACTCCATTCATGTCCTTTGGAAGCCTGATATTTAGGATGCATGCACACAAGAAAGATAATTGCCTTCCCCATTATAAGGACGTGGAATTTGAGAGCTGGGACTATGTTTTATACTTCTTGAATCCTCCTCATAGCCTAACAAGACCGTGCACAAAATCTACATGTAATGATTATTGTAGATTAACTAGGAAAGAGGACAGTAAGAACTATATCTATTAAACCCCTGCTACATACCAAAATCTGTTCTGGGAGCTTTAAACACAAAGTATATTTCAATCCTTTGGGGGAAAAAATTAGCTCTATTTCGCAAAGGTATCAGGATAATAGTATCTGATGTAACAACTAAACCCCCAAGTCCCCGTGGCTCAACACATAGAAACTTGTTTCTCACTTTCTCCAAGTCCAAAACAGGCAGTTCTCCTTCAAGCATCAGTTCAGAGATGCATGCCGTTCAATGTGTGGCCCCCCCATCTTTGCACACAGCTTCTGGAGTGACCACGATCCTCTGCCCCAACCCAGAAGGGGAAAGAGCACAAGAAAGGTTGGGAAACGCAGCCAGGCTGAGTGCCAGACTCCAGTGAAAACAGGTCTGGGTGATTCATAATAGTCTCTGCCACATAAAGGTAGAGGCCAAAGCCCAGGGATGTATAGTAACTGACCTGATGCTGCTCAGCCTATACACAGAAGAGCTTGGGTTCACTACCACGTGTGTATAATTCCAAAGTCCGTGCTTATTCCGCTAACGCCTACTGATTGGCAATAATCATTGCCGTCTTAACCTTCTGGGGCCTCTCAGATGCATCTATTTGAATTACCTTGGCAATTGGTTAATTTCACATACAACCCAACTTCAAACCGCAGTGAGAGTGACAGATTCACCCTAAACCAAATTGCAGATGTATTTTGCAGATGCATCCTCTATTTCTTCCAAATATGTTGCTGGCATACTCCTTTAACAAGTCAATCAACTCACTGACATGCCCTTGCATTAGGTAAGCACATATTCCTGTTCTAAAGTCTATGCCTTATAAACTTGACATATTCAGATGCTATGGCTTTTATCGTGAGTAAATTAAAGCTCTTAAAATGTCAGAATGTTTTTGTTTCATTTGACATTCTCACCATAGGTCAAACTGCCTCCAAAGCAGACATGTCTAAATGGCTGTCTAACTGTATCGCTCAGAATGGCTTCTTAGGAAGTCCAGGAGTGTGGTGATTGCGGGGCCCATGAGAACCAGTAATTCTGTTTGGATCCATTCCCATGTAAGCAATTTACATCCGCTGTGTTACAGATCTGGGGCTTAGAAAACAGAAAGGGATCTTGGGAGACTATTGGATCTACCTCTTGCTTTGCAGGCATGAACCACAGAATCTTAAAGTTGGTAAAAAAAAAAAAAATGACATTGGTAATAACAATAGCAGGTATCCGCGATGAATGCATTCATTCAACAAATATTTATGGAGAGCCCACTTTGCGCCAAATGCCGTGATAGAATCTGAACACATAACTGTGCACAAAACAAGGTCCAGGCGTTCCAATGTGGGAAAGAGTGAATGCACCAATAAACAAATACTGCATCAGGTGGTGATGAGTGCTTTGAAGACAGATAGCGTAGTAAAGTGAAAGGCTGCAGAGTGAGGAGGCGGGAAGCTGTGAGGTTTTGCGGGTGGCTAGGGAGGGCCCTCTGCCACTTGAGCTAAGACCTGAGGAAGTGAGGTGGTGCGGCTCCAGGCTGAGGGAGCAGCTAGCCAAGAGGCTGGGAGGGAGGATATGCTTGGCGTTTTCCAGGAACAGCAAGTGGACCAGGTGATCCGGGGGCAAGGGTAGGAGAGGGGGCCGACTGGGAAGGGGGCAGATTGGTTAGGCTCTCCTGGCCCATGAAAAGGGTGCTGGGCTTTCTCTGGACGGAGATATGGAGCCCGCAGGGTGAGTGTACTACAGAAGAGGGGCTTGAGGCTTGAGCCCTGGGCACTGCACCATTCAGGGGTCTAGAAGGTGAGGAGGAGCCCACAGGGGACTGAGGAGGAGGAGCCAGGGAGGCAGGAAGACAGCCAAGCGAGGGTCCCAGAAGGCAAGGAAGAAAGGAGTTCAAGGAGAGAGTGAGCAACCAATCAAATGCCACCGATTGTTCAAGTACAAAGAGGACAGGAAACTGACCACAGATCTGACGAGCAGCGGTCACTTATAACCCTATCGTGAGGAGAGGCTGCTGGAGACGAAAGACTGATGGAAGAGTGCTCAGGAGAGACCAAGAGAGAAAGGGAGGAGAGAAAAGGGATCTCTCTCTCTCTATATATATATATATATATATGTGTGTGTGTGTGTGTGTGTGTGTAAAATATATATGTAATCGCCTAGTATTTGCTGGGCACAGTTCAGGCTCCTTACGTGCGAGTTTCCCAGCTGAATTCGCAGGACCACCGTGGGGCAGTTGTTTCCGCCGTTTTGCCCATGAGGTTCAGGCAGCTCAGAAGTGTGAAAGTTGGACTCGGCCTTCACGTGGGCCAGACCCCAGAGTTCTCACCCTCGTTCCTCTGGGCTAGTCTATGCCTCTTAGAGGTCACCTGGGGCAACCAACGCAAAATGGATTCCAGCTTCCAAAAAATCTCAGAAAATAGGTCATTCAGCTTCTCTTTCAACAGTGTGTGAATCATTCCAATGATTAGCATCTATCCTTTCGATTTTTAATTACAGAGGTTCCATAATCCGCCCCTGTACATGACCGCACAATATAGTGTGTTCTGCAAGGAAGTTCTTCCTTTCATGACTCTACTTCCTTCTTCATTGAAAGTAAAAGTTTTATTTGACTAAGAAAACGATCCTGTTGATACCAACTCTCAGAAGAGTGTGACCATTAGAGCTCCTTTTCCGTCCCAGCCCCTAGCATGAGCTCCAGCCCCAGCCAGAAGCCCATGTGCCTGCTGGAAACACCCGCCAGGGTCCCACTGGCCCTTGTACCTGATGAGATGCTTGGAGTTGCAAGTGAGGGAACACACAACTCAGGCTGGCCTCACAGTAGGGAAATGGGCTGCTCCAGCGAGCATGCCCGTTTGTCTCATTGTCCTCAGGCTGGCAGTGACACAGATACGTTGCTTTGGGGCTGCACGTCCCCACAGGACGACACCCAGAGGACCAGAGGGTCACTTCTAGATGTTCTCAGATGAAAGCAAGGACGCTGCCTTCCCAGGAGCCCCCAGAAAACCTCTCCTCCTATCTCATTGGGCCAAGTTGATCACGTGACCGCTGTCAGACTAACCATTGGCCAGGGGTAGGTTACCCGCCTACACGGGAGACCATCCCGCAGCGGGGGTGGGGTCAGCTTCCCCTGAAGGACACGGACCACGCAGAGGAAGGGGCAGTGTGCTGTGAGGAGGGGGGAAGGGCCAAATGGACACAGGGGAAGCGACACACCATATCTACTACATCTGAGTCTGTGACTGCACTCACCTCCCTAACCTCCCGCCTGCTCCCGCCTGCTCCCGCCTGCAGTACCACGAATGCAGACACCACCCCGAACTTCAGAACCCAGAAAACCTGCGTTCCCGCCTCACCACCTCCCTCACTTCACACGCATACTGAGTCTGTGTCCTGCCTCTTCCTCCATTACACAGCTCAAGAATCTGTCCACTTCTCCCACTCCCACCTGACTTCAGGCCGTAACCAACTCTGCCCGGGCCAGAACAACATCTGCTTCCCACCACATCCTCCCAAGCAAGCATCTACTCTGGACGCTCATGTCTCAAAAACAAACAAACAAACAAAAACCACCTGACAGTGTTGTTCCACTTTGGGTTTTTTTTGGTTTTTTTTGTTTGTTTGTTTGTTTTTATTTTAAACAGGATTTCCTACAGAAATGTTGTTCCACTTTGTAAAGGCCTTCACTGGCCACCTGAGGCTTCAAGGTTTGGATCTGGCTCTCTCACAAGCCAATAGGATTCCTCATGACCTCTGCCTGTCCCTCCAGCCATCTCCTGCCCCTTCCAAGAACCTGGATTTAAGCAATACGAAACCATCTTAGATTCCCAAAAGCTTGCTATCCCCAACTCCAAACAAAACTCCACAGTGGCTCACGCCTGTAATCCTAGCACTCTGGGAGGCCAAGGCAAGGGCATTGCTTGAGCTCAGGAGTTCAAGACCAGCCTGAGCAAGAGTGAGACCCCATCTCTACTAAAAATAGAAAAAGAAAATTATCCAGGTGTGGTGGCATGTGCCTATATTCCCAGCTACTCAGGAGCCTGAGGCAGGAGGATCACTTGAGCCCAGGAGTTTGAGGTTGCTGTGAGCTAGGCTGACACCACAGCACTCTAGCCCCATGACAGAGTGATACTCTGTCTCAAAAAAAAAACAACAACAACAAAAACCCTCCTCTTTCTCACCTCGATAAATGGCCATCATCTACCTGCTGCTCAGGCAAAAGTCCTAAGAGCGATCCTTGATGCCTCTCTTCTTCTGCCATCACAGCTAATCCTTCTTCCATGGGTGATGCTGAGCCTGCCTCCAGAAGGTGATCCCAAACTGCTGTCCTCTGTCCACACCCACCACCACCCCCTCTGGCCACCACGCATTCCCACGGGGTCTCCCATGACAGCTGAGCAGCTGGTCTACCCACTCACTGCTGCCCCTTGCAAGCAATTCTTAGAGTCCTCGCCACAGCGCTACATCACTGGCCCCTGCTCACCTCTCTGACCACATCGCCCCTTCCCACTGTCCCCCCACTCACTGCCTCCTTCTGATGCTTGCAGACACCAAGCTTGCTCCCCCCAAAAGCCCTTACCCTGCTGTTCCCTCCCCCCGAAATGTACTTCCCCAGGTGGTAGCATCACCCACACAGGGTGCAGCATGGAAGGCCATCTCTCTGAGATGGTCTCTCTGGCCGCCTTTATGCCCACCATGCCCTCAGATCACATTATGTTTCTTGCCGTCTTCATGACACCTCAGCCTTTGAGGGCCTCTTCTTTGCTGACTCGTCTGCTCCTTGTCAGTTCCCTAGAACACAAGCTCTCCGAAGGCAGGACGTGCTCTGCCCTGTTCACAGGTCCTTGGGAACTTTGGGAACTTGTGCCTGGAATCCAGCAGGAGCTCAATACATGTGTTGAATGAATGAACGAGCAAATGACTATTCTACCCGTCCAGCTTGAACACCTCTCATAACCTGCCCCCCTTTACCGGTATAACTCCTTCGTGTCCTTCAAACCCAGCTCGGCCATGCAGGTGCAGGCGCACACATGCGCGGTTGGTTCCCTCTCCCCTATCTCTGGCAATAACACCCAACATTTGCTTCTACCACTGTAGGTAACACTCTGCATTAGAGCTACAGCCCCTCCCCCACCATGCTCTGAGCCCCCTGTGGATGGGCTGTGTCCTTCCACCTGCATCTCCATCCCCAGCTCATAGCCTGCCCAGGGAAGACACTGGCTGGCTGCCCAGTGAATGAATGAATGAATGAATGAATGAATGAATATATTCTTCACTGATACTTAAGGCTTTGGTCACTCCTTGAGTAATTAAATCAGACCTGTATCACCCACTTCACTCAACTGGTTTCCAAGTTCAAGATTTTGGGGACATCCTAATTCTGTCCCAATGTCCCTTTAAGTCTTTGCTCTTGCTGTATGTAACAGGCTAACACGCCTCTGAATCATTTCAGAACTGGAGCCTCCCTCGACATTGTATTTCTGATTGGTTGCTATTTGTTTTGACAGTTGTCAGATATTTTTTATTTATACCAAGCTCTCCCTGGGGTTTAGTTTGCTGGATCCTGTCCGTCTAACACCTAGAAGGAAGAGAAAATGACGTGGCTGTAAATCTTTTTTATTGAAGGTGTGCTATAAAACAGATCTTCTTTCACCTCTCCACTCTCTCCTGAGATTTAAGGATTCTTGGTTTTTATTGTTGTCTTTACCCCTCATTTCAAAAGGACAGAGCGGTGGGGGAAAGGAGCGGCTTATTTGCTCCACCCTGGAAGGCCCGTAGGATTCACACTTTCCTGCCTGTGGACCCAAACAGTCCGAGATTTCAAGGGAGTTCTTGACAGTTTCACTCCAGAAACACACACCAAGCTGAGGACATCGTTATATGGTGCACATGCACAGGGCTGAAATTACAGGCCATTTTCTCCTACCTGCCCCTTTCATTTGCTTCCTGGCAGATGTCCATGGATAGAACCACCAATTTCCACAGGGAAAGCAGAACCCTAAATATAAATAAGAGAGGACTTCTGGGGCTCCTACCGAGAGAAACTTTCCCTTGCTCATTTTAACTGGTGTTTCCATTCATAAGAGACGGTGCAGAGCTGAGGCGTTTGCAGGAAATGAATATTTCAGAAACTCAAACGAACATTCCCTCCTCCAGTTACCCCACCAGCTCTGTAATAGCCATCCCGGCTAGAGCGCTGATTAAGGTCAGTGGGAAACGGCTTCATGCCCTGCTTTATTTTGCCTCTGCACACGCTAGTCTCTATGTACCTTTCAAAAACATATCCTCCCCAAATATCTACCTTGTTTTATAAATAGCATACATTATTCTCTGATTGTGTAAGCAAAACATGCTCATTATAAAAACTTTAGTCAATACAGAAAAGTATAAAGGAGACAGTTAAAATGATTCATTCTCACCCAAATAAGCATTGGTAACATTTTAGGAGAAATACTGAAAGTTCTTTGTCTTTTTTCTGTGGATATAGATCTATATCTTAAGACTCAGATCATATCAGATACACAATTGTATGGTCTCTTTTTCCTTAACACCATATCAAAATTTTTCCGTGTCCTCAATCTTTGAAACATGGCTTTGAAAACATAATCGTATTTTGTTAGCCTTAAAATCCATTTTAGATAAAATAAAATCAAAGTTATCAGGTGACAACAACCCAGCTACCCCAAAGCGTCAAATGAGTCCAAAACTCGGAAATCAGAGTCACTCGTGTTAACCTAGTGGTCTCCATGGTAACTTCCCAACAGGCAAGACTGAGGTGAATTTAAGGTGACTAAGCCTGAGGATGTAGAACCCAAAGCCCAGCTGTGGGTCACTGTTATCTCTAGATTATAGGAACACAGGCAGTTTTCACTTCCTTTATTATTCCCTTCCATACGGACTAAATGTGCTGCCATGAGCATGCCTGCTTTTAAAATCAGAAATAAATCATACTGCTATTTTCATTTTGGAAGCAAACAACACCTAATTATATATGTGCCCTGATTTTCTCATTCTCTGAGAAACGTCCCCACCCTGAGCCCATCTCCCATTCCCAACTCCCACCGCACCAGGTACACGGCCTCCACCCCTGCCCATACCTCCCTCCTTCCCCGAGCCCTCGGCACACCTGTGGGGTGTAGGAGTGGGGGCCTTCCCCCGGTCCCCAGTCTCTCCCTGTCTGGCTCTAGCCCACCTGTCTCAAGTCGAATGTTAGGAGGTAGCATTGCTTGGCCGAAAGGAGACAAACTTTGACGGAAACAGGATTCGGGGTCAGAAAAACCGTGTTACTTCCTATCTGTATGGTCCTGGCCAAGTCACTTAACCTCTCTGAACCTCAGTTTCCTTATCTGTAAAATAAAGATAAGGATGCCCAGCTTGCAGGATTATACCATGATTAAATGACGTCAGCTTGCCCCACATCAATGCCTGTCACCACCTACAGTACTGACCACCTTCGGGGCCTTAGTTTTACTCTACAACCATCAGTCCCTCCTCTGGCCAAGACTAGGGCCAAGACCTCCTTGGCTATAGCTACAGACTCTTAACCAGCTGGGACTTTTCTGCTGGATAGAGGTACCTTTTAACATTGGAGCCAGAATCCCTCGCAAAGGGCTGGGAATCTGGTTTCAAAAGCAAACCATTGCACAGGCAAGAGCCAAAGTATTACTCAACTCTTAAGAAAGCTCCCCTCTGGTTGTTGAACATTCTCAGCTTGCCTTTGCAATGAAATTCACAAAGATCTTCCATAAATATTGTCGTCATTGATATAGAAGGGAACAGACCAGCGAAACCCTAACGGTTTCTATTTTCTGATCCTACATTTCATCCAATTAAAAAGTAAGATGAAAAAGCAGGAGGGGGAAAGAAGGAGGAAGAGGAAGGAAGAAGAAGAGGCTAAAGATGAGAAAGAGTGGTATGAATCAGATGATTCTTTAAAAAGGCAAAAGAGAGAGAAAGGATAGTCAAGAATGAAGTAGGTCGATGCTGTCATCCTTTGCCAGAGAAGCAAGCTTGGGTCAAGCATTTAAGTGACTCTTTCAGAAGCTAAAACAAGTCAGCATCGGAAATAGGATTAGAATTTGGAGGTCATAGTTAGCGTGCAACTGCTGCTACTAATTTTAAAGGTGTCAAGGCAAATTTATAACCAGGTTTTAAGGTAGCTAGCTCAATGTGCTACATTTTTCATGCCTGTGCCTTTAAATTCCCAAGCAGCATTACCAGTTACTGAGTAGCACTTATTCTCTCTTTTTTTTCTTTTTTTCCAAGAAAATGACTAGAGGTAGAAAAACCCATTGAGCCAAATTACTTTCAGAAGGTTTTACTAAAAATTATTTTTTTAACTGCAGTTAAAGATAAACAAGATTTCTCCGAAGCTGAGCTATTTTATCAAGTCAGACAAAACATAATACAATTTCTTTTTAAAAACCCAGATTAGCCACTATCGTTGGTGATTATCTGACGTAATACATTACGGTTTGCAGAATGCGGCAGCCTATTACATTCTCGGAAGCATTGTCCATTCATTCAACAGCTTTTACTGAACACAGAGTTGGTAGGAGG